GGGTGAGGGGCAGAGAGGGAGGGAGACACAGAATCGGAAACAGGCTCCAGGCTCTGAGCCATCAGCCCAGAGCCCGACGCGGGGGTCGAACTCAGGGACCGCGAGATCGTGACCTGGCTGAAGTCGGACGCTCAACCGACTGCGCCACCCAGGCGCCCCAATTTCCTTCCTTTAGATACAACTGTAAACTCTCTCTTGAACCAGAGACTTCTCTGAGGTCTGATCAAGTATTATAAATATTTATTTGCAGGGCACATTCCCGTTTAGTTCCCAAGTCATTGCACAAGCAGGGAGGAGAATACATTTTTAGGAAAGTATGTGTTGAGGGGCACCTGGGTGGCTCAGTCAGTTGAGCTTCTGACTTCAGCTCAGGTCATGATCTTGCGGTTCATGAGTTCAAGCCCTGCACCAGGCTCTGTGCTAACAGCTCAGAGCCTGGAGCCTGCTTCAGATTCTGTGTCTCACTGGCTCTCTGCCCCTCCTCTGCTCACACTTTGTCTCTTTATCTCTCTCAAAAATAAACATTAAAATTTTTTTTAAAAAATAAAAGTACATGCTGATCTGTATTCATTGGTAAACAGCGCCCTTGACCAACTCTTACTGCTTTAAGATAACACTGCATGCAGCTTTGACTGTTTTTGGTCTAGAGTTGTTGAATCAAAATCACAGTTCTCTTATTTTTCAAAAGTTGGTCTTCAATGTATGCTATACAATGTGTATGCTATATTTTTACATAATATAATTCAAGGGTAGAACTGCATATTTTTCAGAGATATGTGAAGAGTGAAGATGCCAACTGGGGAGAACCCAGTTATCCATTGAATGGGATATCTATGAAATCCATTATTATTTTTTCTTTTTTTACAGATATCTATTTTTTTTTTTTCAACATTTATTTATTTTTGGGACAGAGAGAGACAGAGCATGAACGGGTGAGGGGCAGAGAGAGAGGGAGACACAGAATCGGAAACAGGCTCCAGGCTCTGAGCCATCAGCCCAGAGCCTGACGCGGGGCTCGAACTCCCGGACCGCGAGATCGTGACCTGGCTGAAGTCGGACGCTCAACCGACTGCGCCACCCAGGCGCCCCAGAAATCCATTATTATTTTTTCTTTAAGGAGTTCTATAATTGACTTCCTCTACCTAAGTTAAACTGAAGACTATTTAATTACAGTTCCTTTTTTCAATTAATTTTTAAATTTCACTTAAATCCAAATTAGTTAACCTACAGTGTAATAATGATTTTCAGGAGTAGAACCCAGTGATTCGTCACTTCATATAACACCAAGTGCTCACCCCGAGTGTCCTCCTTAATGCCCATCACCCCTTTAGCCCATCCCCCCCACCCACTTCCCCTCCAGCAGCCCTCAGTTTGTTCTCTGAATTTAAGAGTCTCTTATAGTTTGTCTCCCTCTCTGTTTTTATCTTAATTTTGCTTCCTTTCCCTTATGTTTATCTGTTTTGTTTCTTAAATTCCCCATATGAGTGAAATCGTATGATATTTGTCTTTCTCTGACTGACTTATTTCACTTAGCATAATACACTCTAGTTCCATTCATGTTGTTGCAAATACTTTTTTCTAATTTAGAAAAAAATCCTGATTTTCATGAATGACAAGAGTTTTCGGAAATACCCCCTGCTATCAGGAATGAATGAGTCACTTGGAATATTTGGGATGTAGTTCACTTTGTGTGCTTAATATTTCTGCAGTGGTTTCCAACCTGTTCCTCTTCCTTTTTTTTTTTTTTTTTTTTTTTTTTTTTTTTTTTTTTTTTTGTTTGTTTGTTTGTTTCCATTTCTATTTGAAATGTAAACTTTCTCTGAGCCTATAGAGTTTGGGATAATGCAACTCTGTTGAGGGTGGAGGCAAAGTGTGGGGTGTCTGAGCGCGTCTTTCTCTGTGAGGGCAAGGACTACCATCTGATATTTATCCAGCTTTGGTAGCTTTTGTATGTAGGAAATGCAAACCCACTTGTGACCAGATATGCCGTGTTTGTTTTTCTGTCTGTGCCTTTAGCCCCTCCATCCTGTGGTCACTTGCCACGAGAAGGTGGTAAGTGTCCGAAAAGACCCCAGCGAATCTCTCGGCATGACCGTTGCAGGGGGAGCATCACATAGGGAATGGGATTTGCCTATCTATGTCATCAGTGTGGAGCCCGGAGGAGTCATAAGCAGAGATGGAAGAATAAAAACAGGTAAAAAGAGACTTAAGGTACTGGGGCAGCAGAGGGTTAAAAATGAATTAGCAGCTTGCTGGGTTAGGTAACTGCTTCCAGAATTAACAAGAGAATGAGACGTTGATCTGCCCAGGACCTCTGTTACCCATTGATCTTGACTGGTTTGGGTTTAGTTGCTGGACTGGGTTTCACCCCTCTTAGTTTATGTGGGTCGATGTGGGCCCCTTGGCTTGCTAATAAAGTGGGCACCTGCAAACTATGCCAAGAAGTGATGGAGAAGTTCTACAGTTATGAGCAAGTGGCCTCGACTACATGGCATAATTTGGTTCCATTCTTTCTAAGTGATTCTTTTGCCGGATTGATCCTGTGATGAACCTATTCATGAATTGTTCCATTTCGTGGGTTGGATGGGAGAAATACTTTCATGGATCTTGAGCCAATGAATAATTTACCATTTACATTATTTACCATGAAGTAATATTTATCATGAAAGTACCATGCTAGGTTCTTTTCCACTGGTTAAAAAAAAAAAGTTTCATTATCTAAAAAAATTTTTTTAACGTTTATTTATTTTTGAGACAGAGACAGAGCGCAAGTAGGGGAGGGACAGGGAGAGTGGGAGACACAGAATTAGAAGCAGGCTCCAGGCTCTGAGCCGTCAGCACAGAGCCCGACGCGGGGCTCGAACTCACAGACTGCGAGATCATGACCCGAGTCGAAGCTGCACACTCCACCGACTGGGCCACCCAGGCGCCCCTAATTATTTTAATCTTATGTGTCCTGGGTTACTCTGAATGAAGGAAGGTGATGCCAAATATGTATCTTTAATAATATTGTCAATTCCCACGAAGGGGTAGCTCAGATGGTTGAGCAATTAAGTCGTTGAAGGAGATTCAGATTCAGGAGATCATGTGAAGTTCCGGAAGTACAGCTGTTCAGCCTGAGGAGCCATGGGTGGGGGCAGGGCGGGGTGGGGGGCATGGTAAGGGATTTCTTTGGCCAACCTAACAGTGCTTCTTTTGGGGTCAGGCAGGGCTTGGGCTGGTGGTCAAGCCTTTCCCATCTGTCTCTTCCTATCTTTTTACTCTTGCTATGGTTATTCTGTGTGAAAAAGATGAGAGTCAAAGGAGGCAGGAGATTAGGAGAGAGATCAAAGAATAGAAATTGGAGGTAGGAGAAGTAGGTCTTTTGGTTTCTCTTGCTCTTTTTCACCCAAGCAGCGGGGTGGAGAGTGATGAGGTCCGCCAAGAAGTGGCTTGTTAGCGAGAGAATGCGAGCAGAGGACTGTGCGGGATGGTGTATGGAAATGGCCCTGCACGTAGTAGGTGCTTAACCGATGGAAGTTACTATCACCTTTGCAGTGAACCACAATGTTAACTCCTTTCCCCCCTTTAAGAGCATCGCTCCAGCTCGTTTTTCTTAACTGCTGTGTTCTCCTCTGCCAGACCCTTTCAGGGGTGGTCTCTTCTTCAGGCAGTCCACGTTTGTTGGGCACCCACCGCATGCCAGGCTCCATGCGGGTACTTGGAGCTTTTGCCAAATGCTCTCTCTTGTGCTAAAACCGAGAAACAACAAGTGAAGAAGTGGGTTTTCTTTGATTAAATGGTAAACGAAGCTAATTTATCTACCTGCTTTCCCTTTTTAGAATTTTTTTTTAATGTTTATTTTATTTTTTGAGACAGAGACACAGCATGAGCAGGGAAGGGGCAGAGAGAGAGGGAGACACAGAATGTGAAGCAGGCTCCAGGCTCTGAGCTGTCAGCACAGGGCCCAACGCGGGGCTCGAACTCATAAACTGTGAGATCGTGACCTGAGCCGAAGTCGGACGCTTAACTGACTGAGCCACCCAGGCGCCCCTGCTTTTTGTTTTTTAAAGGCAACAACCAAACACTAACGAGTATGCTTTAGAAACCTCCAAACATAACTTCCCAGTGCCGTGAAACACCCACACACTAGCCATTTTGCTGTTGGAGAACTCAGCCTCACGTCAGTGCAGGAGGCTAATGACATGGCCCTTCACCCTCCTCACCTCCCCACATCACAGTCAGCCCCTGCGCCTTTGCACTTTTCTAGAAGTTCCTATTTGCGCTCTCACTAAAGATAGCTTCTGCTTCTCTGGCCATCAGGTGACATTTTGTTAAACGTGAACGGGATTGAACTAACAGAGGTCAGCCGGAGTGAGGCAGTTGCATTATTGAAAAGCACATCCTCCTTGGTGGTCCTGAAAGCTTTGGAAGTCAAAGAACGTGAACCCGAGGAAGCGAGCAGCAGCCCAGCAGCCCTGGACTCCAACCACAACGTAGCCCCGGCCAGAGACTGGTCCCCGTCCTGGATCATGTGGCTGGAATTACCACGGTGAGTCCCAACTTGACATCCTTGCGGGGATGTGGGAGGAAACCGTTGCATTTCCCGGACCACTCTTACTCTCTCGGCACTAGCCACGTTCGTGGCACTAGCATCCTTGTGAGCCCCACGTTTGATTGTGAGACCATTTGAAAGAAGTCTGTCCTCCCTTCTGTTACTGAAAATGCATGCGGAAATCCCAGAGCAGGATGAAAGCCTGGATGTGGAAACATTGTTAGACACTCACGTTGAGGAGCTCCTGGGCTGCTGCCCTTGTACGTTGTATGGCTCATGCAGCAGAGAGAGCTCAGCTGACGGGGGCTGAGGGCTAAAACCCAACCAGGCTCCTCCACTCTGGAACCTTCCCTTACTTTAGTGGAATCCTCAGAACTTGCAGAGGTAAAACCCTTCAGCAGAACATCTTGCGTGTACCCAGATGTTGAAGCATGTGCTGGTTGAGGGGCATGTCTCAAGACTCTCTAGTTCCTACTCTTGTAAAGTTCTAGAAAACTTCAGGGAGCAGCCGGGTTGTCATTTCAGTGAGACGTAACCGGAGCCTTATGTGAAACCATTAAATTGTCTCGCGCAGACACGTCGGGACAGTTTTTAAGGACATTGTAAATGGCTAGATGCAGAGGTTAAATTTTTGAAGAACAGATAAATTGGGGTTTGCACACCTGCAGCAGAGCACAAACTCTTGACCTTCAAAGGATTGCCTTACAAATTCCAACTGCGTGATGTAAATGTTAAATATTAGAGTCACCGAAGATGAAATGCTGCCGTTGGATTTAATGAATAAAAGTAGGATGTTTGGTTTTAGGACATTTTTCTTGAGGGTGGAGATAGGACGGTCTCTTTGTCTTTTTTTTTTTTTTTTCAAATTTCAAATGAGGTTTTAAAAAACATCCCTGCCTCAGATACACTGACCTAGATTCCTTTTTGAGCCTTTCCTAGTTGATTATTTTTAAAATAAGGACATTTTTAAACAGTTGAAAATTGAGCATTGAGGCAGTTTGAAAATCTGCAAGCATTTTGGACTGAGCCTGAGTGGAAGAAGAGTTACTTGAACTAACATTTTTTAATCTTTCTGAAACTGGAGTCTATGAAAGCAGGTTTTGTTTGTTTGTTTTTTGTTTTCGCGTGCTTGAAAGCTATTCATCATCTATCAGAGTTCCTCACTTGTGGTAGACAGGACAAATGTGAGATGCTTTTACTCCAAATATAACCAACCGAGTGGCTTTGTCTCCATTTTTTTTGTCACCTGGCCTGAGGCAGCGATTCTCTGCTCCTGCCAGAAGCATAGTCTGGATTTGGTTCATTTCCTTTAAAAGAAGTAGACAGGAAGTGCGAAATGATGCCAGCACAGACAACACTGGTCTTCGGTCACCCTGGCAGCCCTTAGTTTCCTTTGGCCCCTCGTCCCCTCACAGTAATATAATCACAGAAGAAATCTGAGGCACCAAAGGGGAGAAGGGTGCAGGGTGAGTCTCTCATGCCTGTCCCCTCAGATCCACTCCCCTGAGGTAATCACGGTTACCAGTTCCTTGTGTGTTTTTCTAGGAAAAGTCAAAGTCAGGGGTTGGCGAACATTCTCTGTAAAGCGCCAGAGTTGAGGCTTTGAGGGTCACACCATAGGCGGCAACTCCAGGATTACCCCTCAGCTGAAGATGCTCTTCAACTCAAGGGGACTCAGAAATCACCAAAGACCTTCTGCTTCGTTTTCTGTTGGCTCCCAGGGCCACACTCCACATCTGGAAGTCTTTCGAAACATGCTCTCATCTGGACCAGTAGGATAGGGGAGAAATGAGTTAATGTGTGTTACTATTATACAGGCACAGGGTGCTGTGGAAACCCAGAAAAGACTTCGGAGTGAGATAGTGAGAAGAGTAGCAGTATTTGCCAACCTCTTTACCCTTTGGCTTGAACAGAAGATAACTGGACTCTCACATCTACCTCTGCATTCACTCTGTTGCCAGATCACCCATCCTGTGTTCTCTGAGCTTAAACGCTCATGAGAAAAATGAGAGTTTTTAAAACGGCAAATAATGTCTATTACGATAAAATTATTTTTTGATCTCTGGACTCCCTGAAAGGCAAAAGGAGTTTTTGATCTCCAGACACTTTGAGAACCACCCTTAGGTAGTGTAGGGGCTCAGTGAAACACTGAGGTCTGCTGAGAAAAGGGGAATCCTTGGAGACTGAGAAGGAACAGCCAGTGTAACAAAATTTTACAGCTTCTTGAGCAACCCAAGACTTCACCATGCTCCTTAACATGGAGTTTATTTTTTAAGGTAACCGTAATTTTCTCACTGGGAGAAAATTACTAAATTCGTTGCTATTTTTTTTAAATTATCCAACTCTTCTTCAATGAGCCCTAAATTTAGAGAGTTTCAGAATAGGAAAACTCACGTTTATAGAATTTAAAGTCGCTTAATATTTCAAAGGTAAATCCTCAGCATCATTGACCAAAGCCAGCTTCCACATTTCCCAATGGGGAGTGAAATCATTTAACTTGAGAAAAAAAATGCCCAGTACTCCTCAGTTCCAAGTAACCAAGGTCTGATTTTGAAGGGGTTTACAGTACTGAGTTCTTATGCTACAAAGTTAAACTACTCAACACAAAAGTAAGGAGAGTACTTAGTGAAAAATCTCTCAGTAACATTGCCATCTACGTGAATGCATGGCAGAGTGGTCAGGGGTTTTTGTCTGTTCACTGATACCCCAAGTGGCCAGAATGTGGTACGCTCAATAAACATCTGCTAAAAGATGATCCCGATACCTTCTCTCCAACATCAAAACAAGAGTCTAGGAAAATAGACACAATTCATTCACGTTATGTTGAAGCTTTTACACTAGAACAGAATTTTTAGATGGTGAGGTTTATAGCTTGTCCACATGAAATCAAATATTCAATAAAAATTAAAGATCCAAGGTGATACTCCATGAAAAAATCCAATAGTCAAAGAATGAGAAATACTGTTTCAAGTATTGCTCTAGGTACCCATTTTATGTTTTAAGGAATGATGGCTGGGAAATGGTAACATATTTGCTGATGACCTTGGGTAGGAATCACCGAATTCTTCATCTGCTTTCCCCCCAGTACTGGGCACAGGTAGGAATGTAATGCCGTGGGGTGTCTGGAGCACTGTCAGTTACCTGCGTTGTGTATGAGCTAGTCAGTGAACCGCCATGCAAATGTGGTATCTAACACGCCACAGATCCTACAGGGTGAATGTTTCACACCAGAGGTCTTACTGTGAAATACAGCAGGAGTATTTTGCAATCAAAATATGGTTGTTGTTTTATTAAAAGAAAATTGTTATTTTTCAGCTATCAGTGAAAGAAATTACTGTAAATTATGTGTGACAACAGATACAAAACAAAACAGAGTTGAATTTTACCACTACATTTTAAAGTTATCCACCAAAGTCAAAGCTTATTTTAAGTTGGAATCAGCAACGTCATGAAGTCACATTTACACTGATTAGCAAGGTCAGTAACAAATAGAATGACCAACGTCATCACTTAACAAAACCTTTCACATGAGACAGTTTATTGGTTTTCCAAAAGGCAGTTAATATTTTAAGGTACAGCTTATAAACAAAACAATCATATCTTGATTTTTACCAATATGAAAATGCTTTCTTTTAAACCAGTTCCTCAACTGGGGGGTTTTAGTCCAATCCAGTTCCTGACACACAACCTGTCACAACTGTAACACAGTTTGCACTTGCTTTGCACCTGTGTCAACACTGGTCCAGCTGCCACCAAATAGTTCCTTCCCTCTAACCTCTAGGAGGATTGTACCCATTCACAGAAGACCTGTGGCCTCTCCTTCTCCCATTCCTTCTGTACCTTGCTATTCGGTTTACTTTTTCTCCTCCCTTATGAATCATTCTTCTAATCTCTAAAAGTACCTCGATTTCCATTCACTTTATGCCTGCACACTTCTCTATAACCTGTCAAGCATGTAGAGCTACATTTAAACTGGTATTATTTCAAGAGTCAAAACTTTGGCAAGTTAGGGTTAGGTTTAAATTTTTTTTCATGGAGATTAATCATTTAAAGGATTTTTGTCTGCATTAAAATTATATCCACAAGTAAATAAAAATATGTCGCTAAGTAGGCTTGAATTGGCTCATCAATAAGGATTTAGGCATTTCCAACTTTTTAATATAAATTGAGACACTGAATCTTTAAGCCAAAAGTAGGCTTATTTTTCCCACTAAACATGTAAACAGAACATAATAGTATTTTTTAAGGGGTGTTTAGCAACGGGAAACAGTTCAACTGGAAAAAGCCAGCTAACAGCACAAAACGTCACTGGGCTATGACAATTTTGAGTAAGACCCATCCAATGCTAGTCTGAAAAATGCCAATAAAGGGCACGGGAGATGAATCCTAATTCTTACTAAGAGTTCAACCGATCTGTGCAGATAAATTGCTTACATTCTATTTCAGGTACCTGTATAACTGTAAAGATGTCATATTACGAAGAAACACAGCTGGGAGTCTGGGCTTCTGCATTGTAGGAGGTTACGAAGAATACATTGGGGACAAACCTTTTTTTATTAAGTCCATTGTTGAAGGAACACCAGCATACAATGATGGAAGAATTAGGTAATAATGATGGCTTATTTCCAGTGTTTTATATATGCAAAAGCATGGCCCCATTAGAAATATCTCATGTATTACACACCTTGTTTTATTGGTAAGAAAAATTTACATAGCATTCAGTTTCTAAGAATTCCCTGGTCCCATACAGCAACTTCCCATACTTTTAGCATCCTTTCTAACAGAAGCTGAATGGAGAGTGTGTGCAGAATTCAAGTGAGGAGGGGGAAAAGCCTTCATTAGAAGGTTTTTTTAGAATTTTATATAATTAAGATTGACAGATGTGGCAAGAGCTAGGACCACCAGATACACTTGCATTAACCTTAGCTACAGACCAAAATGTTAATCATGGGTTGTTTTATGTTTTTTAGATGTGGTGACATTCTTCTGGCTGTCAATGGTAGAAGTACATCAGGAATGATTCATGCTTGCTTGGCAAGGATGCTGAAGGAACTTAAAGGAAAAATTACTCTTACTATTGTTTCTTGGCCTGGCACTTTTTTATAGAACCAATGATGGGTCGTAGGAAAACAGAAAACCACAAATAAGCTAAGTTGAAACAATATATTTATCTTGTCAATTTTTATATTTAAAGGATAGACTGTAAAAATGTAAACTAATGTCAGGAAAGTGTGATCTGATGAAAGTCCATTACACCTCCGAAAATGTAATTCTCAAAATATAAACATTAGTAATAGTTCTTATTCAGCGTGGAGGATTTCACATTACAACTCTGTTTATATTTTTCTATTCATTAAAAAGCTCTTACATGGCTGAGAGAATTTGTATGCCCCCACTGAATTCAAATCCTATAATTAAAAATTTGGTATATGCTGAGGCGTGTAAAGTGTACATTATGGACATTTAAAAACCAATTTACAGCCAGAGGATTTTAAAAGTGCACTGAAGAAACTGTTCATCAAATGAGAAATAAATATTTTTCAAATTATAATTGTCTTTTAGTATGTGATATTAAGTTCATTTCTACTAGCACTACTCACAGGATCCTAGTAACGGATTCTCTCAAAACCATGTTGTTACCATGACTGACAAATACATCCTAAGGCTTATCCCTAAAAATGCTCACAGACTATTATAAACCTGTATTCTTAGATTTAATAGGAAATGACTAATGCAAAGCTGTTGTCTTTTCATTCACAATTAGCTAGTAACTATGTAAAAACTCCACGTGCTGCTCAACCAATGAGCCTTGGAAAAAGCATCAAGAAAGGCCAAACCAGCTTGACCCTGGCTCCTGCAGATAGCCGTGAAGCAGTTCAACTTTGTGTCACAGTGACGGGTATCTGTCCACGTGCTTGCTCTAGAAACTACACTTCGGGCAGGTTATTTCAGACACCACCCAAAGGCCTGTAGATTTTACTAATTTGGATATAAAAGTTCCCCATTTAGTTCCACTGAAAACCCATCAAAAAGTTGTGATATCAAGACCGTGTCTTGAGGTCTTCAGCCGCAGCAGTGCTGACAAAGACTGCCCTTAACTTTTAGACTCAGAGGTGCCTGTTGTAGCGCCATCTCTTAAGAGACTGGTATTTGATTTAACTCAAGAAAATGATGGCCAAGGTGGAACCCTGACCATCAGATACTGTGTATGTACACAGCTCTTTAAAATTCCCTGCTGAGTGACTCATTCACATTACTTTCTTGGATACAAAGTCATTGCTGTCTTTATTTTTTTTAAATATTACAAGACAAAGATTTTTAACTTAACATGAAAAATTCACTCTTTTATTTTGAGAAAAAGTTAACTTTTCATACTAACAGAACAAGATTAAAGGTAAATTTCTTAAACATCATCCAGAAAAATAACAAGATTTATGGTACACTTCTGGCCCTGACAGACACACAAGGCCTTAGCCACGCCTATTCGGCAGGTGCAGCTTCGGTGCTCTCCTGTTCGGGGGCAGGCTCACTGCCAGCTTCCTTTCCTTCTTTGCTTCTTTTAGATTTTTTGTGCTTGTGTCTCCTGTGACTGTCTCCTTCTTCACTTTCATGGCGACGTCTACTATTACTGAAGGAAAAAAAGGTGTGTTCTTAAGTAGTGAGAAAAAAAACCCACTTTGTCTAGGTAAATTCTAGGTAAATTCTCAATACTGGATTTTAAATAAACCATTCTTTTTCTCAAGCACATTTTGAGAAGTAATCAGTTTCCGTGATTTTTATACAGATTATATTTACATTACAAGCTCCCCTTCCTGATATTATCCTAGAGTCTCAGAGCCCATATACTTTATTCAGAAAAACTTTTACAAATTAGAAATGGAAGCACTAAATCATAAAAGGAAATTATTTCTAGGGTTGACTTTGGGTAAATAGGCATAAAAGAATTTAAGACTATTACTGGTTCACATGCTAAACAAAACCCTCTCCCAACAAGACAATGCAGCAAGTCTATGGGTATTAAATGCAGTCTTGTTAGATTTCAAAACCTCTGTTGAGCCTATAAGAACCAACTATTTCAACACCTTATTCTTAATCCTCCAACGAGGAACACATATGGTCTACTAGTTATTTGGAAATGTTTAACTTTCCAACGTCACACCAACGTCTCTTGGCTTCCAAGTGACTCACTATAAGAGAGCAAACCTGCGAGACGACTTGTGTCTGGTGTCCTCCTTCTCTCTGTGTCGTCTCTCTCTGTGTCGTTCTTCTTTCTCTCGACTTGCTCTGTGACGCTCATACCCTCTTTCCGCATACTCCCTGTATCTGTATCGTTCTTCGTCACTGAAATTGGAATAAAAACTTTTCATGACAACTGGACTAATTGAGTCTAAGCTAGAAGCCTCCATGTTGTTGTTATTAGCATCTTATACAGAATAGATGCAAAATACATTTGTTGAACTGAGGGAAACGATGCCATTCCCCAATTATTACTAGATCTAATATAAAACAATTACATATTAAAGGTCCAATTTTGTTTTGTGCTTTCAGTTATTTAGAAATTTTATGTAACAATGAGGGTTTTTTCCCAAAAGAAACTGGGAGCAATAACAGATTTAAAATTTCATTGGCTTCATTTTCTTTTGTTCCTTTTAAAATTAAAAGCATGTTTGTATATCTTAGCTTTCCAACCAAAACTCTTATATTGTTAGAATCTCTGTGTGCCCAAGATTTTATAAGTAAAGATACCTGGCTCACAATGGCTATGGAAAGTAGATGAAAGTGCTTACGTTCTTCAATCACATGAAGAATACATTCATCTCATGAAGAAGTATGTAAGCCTGAAGAGCAGAAGGACATCAAAGCAGCTTCCACAATATCCACACACAATGCAGGCAGAACTGCTTGTGGACACACAGTCTGACATCCCAATTGCTTAATACTCTGGGTACGTGTGTGGCTGGGGACGGGCAGAGTCCCCTGGACGACAGCAAGTGCACACACCTCTGCTGCAGCTCCATTTCCTGACTTTAGATCGAACGGACTGGTGAAGCTAGGACTCATGGCTAGAGTTGGACGGTAGTCTCTTTTTTTTTTAACCTCTCTAGACTGGTCCTCTTTTTGCATCTCTTCACTTACAGTCTTCCCTCCAGCTTTCTCTTAATCTTTCCAATCTTTTTTTGGTTGTTGTTCACAGAGGTCAACACTTTCTACAACCTATTATCAGTAAACTCCCTTAGGATAAAAATATCTTCTAGAACACTACACACTAAAGGGCTCTGGTTTCTAGAAAGGTCTAATACAAATTATTAAATCAGTAACTTGCATGACGCATCGAGATGTTAAGGTATATGAGTGAAAAGTAACAGGACACAGAATCAGTTAAAAGTATGAGCCACATGAAAGAAAAAGTCAACTTAATTATGGTCTCCTACCAAAAGTAATGATTCAGTAGTGCTACAACTAACGTCTCCTATTATTGACCAAGTTCTTCCTGCCTGAGATACAGTAAACATTTCAAAAACTTACTAAAAAAAGTATACTGTATGTACCCACATGGACCCACATTTTCTGACCATAAACATATACTCTGTATTTGGACAGTGGAAGCATGGGGCCCGAAATGCAATGCTGCGCTGCATTAAGACGGGAAGTGCAGAACAGACCAAGGACCACATCCTGATCCTGCTACTGACTAAATGTGTGACCCAGGGTAAATTAGTTAACCTCTCTGGACCTGTTTTCTCATCTGTAAAACTGGCAAGTGTCATTTTCAAGGTTGTCGGAGAACTGGCACAACAGTGGGCCCTCAATAAATGGCAGCTAACGTGCAGGCTCTCCCCATCTTCAGTCAATTCAGTGCTCAATTTTTTAGAAGCAGAGCCTTTTTCATAAAAGTGACTGACTCTCTCATAATGTTTCTGAAGGGGAATAACCATGACAAACGATTATCATAAGTAGTATCCTCCATAAAAATGAGGCCTTCTTTGTATTGGGTTTACATAAAAATAACTAAGGTCAATTATTGCAATTTGTCATTTGTAACCCTCTTTTCTCTCTCATCCTAACACCAACTCTTGTTAGCTGTGAGGCCCCTAAGATTCTGAAGACAGCCACAGGATGTGGTGTCGGAAGATTCGGCCTCACACACAGAACATAATGAGGATCTGTCCTTCCGTCCCCTTCTCTGATAAGCAGCTGTGGCGCAAAGGTTTCTCTAGGCCTGGAAATCATTACAGCTCACTTCAAACACCCTAAAATGACCAGCCTTCTTTCGGGCCCACACTTAAGCAGCCTAAAAAACAGATGTTGAGACTGGTCTATAATTTTCAAAACAATGACCCTGTAATTTGTAAGATAACACACACTACATGCCTTATTTCAAAATGTCAGTCTTTAAGAAAAATGGCCCTTACTTTTATACTTCACTGGGGGTTTCCAGAGAACACTATTCCTGGGATAATCCAGAACAACACAAAATTCCTCCATCTTTTGCTGCTGCTCTGTCCTTGAACTTTTAGTCAGATTTTGGTAAACACTGACTCCTGATGCCCTATAGCTTACCAATATGAAAATCAAATGTGGTTTAACTATTAATCGTTTTAAGTCTCCTTAAAAACTGAGTAACATCTGTGCATGCGTGTATTTGAAACTGAAGAATCAGAGAATTTAGCCTCAAATATTCTATAAATGTATTATTTACACAAAGAATTTATGAACTCTAGCAAAGCAATTCAATTTAGTCTTCTTACGTATATCAAGTTTACATTCAGCACCTTGTGAACATGTACATTCTAGAAATAACTGTGCTATCTCAAATATATCCATTTGAATTACATTAGAAAAAATTCAGCTTCTGGGGCGCCTGGGTGGCTCAGTCAGTTAAGCATCCGACTTCAACTCAGGTCATGATCTCACGTTTTATGAGTTCAATCCCCACATCAGGCTCTGTGCTGACAGCTCAGAGCCTGGAGCCTGCTCCGGATTCTGTGTCTCCCTCTCTCTCTGCCCTCCTCCTGCTCATGCTCTCCCTTCTCCCTCTCTCTCTCTCTCTCTCAAATAAACAAAAAAAGTTTTTAAAAAAAGGGAAACAATTCATTGCCTGAAAGTAATGCTCTTGAATGTAACAGAATTACGCACTATGTGGTCAAGGTTAACAGCACATATCCCATCGCACTATATTCATACTGAAACACAAAACCTACACACATACTTATTGTATCAACCTTTACTTATTTATACTTCATAAAATGTTATCAGCTCCTACAGTCACTATTAGGAGCTATAGGAAGGAAAAAGATGAATAAATAAAAGATGAATAAATCCTATTGTTTCTTATGGCACTTTTTTTTTAGGTAACGCTTAAAACTACTAACCCGTCCTAGTCCCCTTGACAACATTACATGCTTAAATCTGTAAGGATAGTGTGTATTTCTGTATCCTTAGCACATAGCTCTGTTCCTGGCATATAACAGGGATCAGAAAATGTCAGTTACATGAATGAATGAATCACCTCCACCCACTGATAAAGAAAGTGCATACAGAGTAATAAGAAAAATAAAAAGTAACAATTTTTTAACTAATTTCAAGACTAAAAAGGATTTTAAGTAATATCTCAACCACTTTTTTCAGTAGCCCATATAGCTCTCTACCGTTGTCTTAATTTCTTCACACATCCATTTCCTCATCTGCCAAGTCAAAATTTAGATTAGATAATCCCTAAGGACCTTTTTGGAGTAAGAAGTCTATAATTACATGATCACATCTAACAAAACATGCTGCCTGAATCAAGTATATGCTCACATCCTTAACTGATCTAGCAAAATCAGAAAACTGTCTATGTACATGTATCCCATCTGTAAAAATAGCTGGTATAAAAAAAGTTATTTTGACTCATTTCATTCTATATTGTGATGGTACCAAGACTGTATATATATATTTTTAAATGTTTATTTTTGAGAGACAGAGTGTGTGTGTGCATGCATATGCAGGGGCACAGAAGGGGTGGAGGGACAGAGGATCTGAAGCGGGCTCTGTGCTGATGGCAGTTCCATGCAGGGCTTTAACTCTAAACTGTGAGATCATGACCTGTGCCAAAGTCAGATACTGAACTGACTAAGCTGCCCAGGCACCCCACCAAGACTGATATTTTAACAAGATGCTAAAATTAATGCTTTCCTAATGATAAAGTTTGATTTTTCTTAATTTCAAAATCTGCCTAGCTAAAACAGAGTTTCACACAACAGCTTTCAGAACTGTCTTTACTATATTCATCTTCCTCCCCTGCAACGTATGGCATTTTATCATTGCATGTTAGGCATTAACTATACAAAGTGCTGAGAATACAGAAATGGAAGATGGTGGCCAACACCCTTAGAGAGGCTTGCTAAGAAAAACATGCTTTAAAAGAAGATACGCTAAATACTTAGAGAGCAAGTGAAGGAAATAATTCCATTTTTTGGGGGGGTTCAGAAAAGCTCACAGAAGACAGGAACAACATGAACGAGTATGGAACTATGGGGGATTTCCAAAATACCATCTAGTTCAGCATAGCTAAAACATGGGATATATTGGCTTGAGAGAGAACTGGGTGTTCTAAAGTGTAGGAAGGTGTACTGGCCTGGGACCTGTGGATCATTAGGAGAATTCTGAATTATTCTCTAGACCAGCACACGTGCCAGTACCACGTCAGCGTATGAATTCTTTCCAGTGGCACAAAACGTTCTGAGGCATCGACTGCCACCCACAACTTCCAGAAACTTTCCTAAACGTGAACTGCGTAATGATACATACCAGCGGGTAAAGCATCATGCCGCTTCTCCAATCTCTTCTCTCACAATCAACTTCCTAGCCCTTTACAAAAGGCATTCCTTTTACCAATTTTACTCTGATACATTGACTCAGGGTGCAAAAACAATCATGGCATTAAAAATATCTAATTTAAGGGGCTCCTGGGTGGTTCACTCAAACATCCAACTTTGGCTCAGGTCATGATCTCACAATCCGTGAGTTTGAGCCCTGCGTTGTGCTTTGTGCTGACAGCTTGGAGCCTGGAGCCTGCTTCGGATTCTCTGTCTCCCTCTCTCTGACCTTCCCCCATTCATGCTCTTTGTCTCAAAAATAAACATGAAAAAAAATTTTTTTTTTAGATATCTAATTTAAAATATTAATGTCAGATTTATTTTATTCAAGGAATAACAAAGCTTCTATAAGGCTTTCAGTCTTCCTATCTGACACATTTTTCTGTCAAGGATAAAATACGGAGTAAGAAATGGGAGTATTCTGTCTTCTGGGATGTCCTAACTTCAGATATACTGTATGTAAAGTAGTGTGGTGGAAGTCATAAACAATTTTCCTTGACCTAGTTAAAACAACAAACAAACAAACAAACAAACAAAATCCACTGAAGTCCCTCTGAAGAAAAGCAAATCAAAAGTGTTGAGGGGCACCATCTTATACTCATTTAAAGTGAACAAAAAAATGAAATCAGACTTCTTTTCTGATAAAAACTTGTGATTTGGCTGTCAGGACTGATGAGAGCTGTCTTTTACCAATTAAGTTATACGGTAGCTATTTTCCATAAATGGAATGAGGAAAAATTGCAACTCCAAGGTTTGCATGAAAATATTTAACAAAGTCTGTTTTAAAGGCTATCTGCAAAGATGTATTAAAATGAACAATTCTTTCTGAGCATATTAAGTTTAAAAAGATGCATCTGGGGCGCATAGGTGGCTCAGTTGGTTGGGCCTCCGACTTTGGCTCAGGCCATGATCTCGCAGTTTTTGAATTCAAGCCCCGCGTGGGGGCTCTGTGCTGAGAGCTCAGAGCCTGGAGCCTGCTTCGGATTCCGTGTCTCCCTCTCTCTCTCTGCCCTTTTCCCACTCACACTCTGTCTGTCCGTCTCTCTCTCTCTCTCTCTCTCGAAATAAATAAACATTGAAAAATTACAAAAAAAAAAGGTGCATCTAAAAGTAACTTTAAACGAGTATAACTGGAAGTTTTTTGAGAAGTCGTAGTAAAGCCCTTTTGGTGTTCTTTCATAAATTCTAGTTTTCTCAGTTTAAATTCCTGAATGTACTGGGTTGAATTGTGTCTCCTCCCGCCCCCTGAAAAAGATGAGTTTGAGCCCTAACCCCTGTATCTGTGAATGTGACTATTTTTGGAAACAGGGTCTTTGCAGATGTAATTAAGTCAAGGTGAGGTCATACTGGATTTGGTTGCACCCCAATCCAATGACTGATATCCTTATAAACAGAGAGAAATTTGGACAGAGACACAGAAGGGAAGATGAGACATGAAGACAGAAACACAAACTGGGGTGACGCATCTCAGAACCAAAAACACCGAGGACTGCTAACAACCACCAGAAGTTACAAGAAATGGAACAGATCATTCCTCAGAGCCTATGAAAATGAGGAAGATAGGCTGGCACCTTGGTATCAGACCTGTAGCCTCCAGAACTGCAGAAAGGATTCACTGTTGTTCTAGTCCACCAGTGTGTCGGACTTGGTAATGGCAGCCCAAGGAAACAGTTACACTGAGTAACAAATACTTTCACAAACCAGGAGGTTTCCAGTTCTCTGCTTTCAAGAAAGTTGAATAGCTGATAGAGCCGACAGATCCTTAAAAATAATTTTGATGAGGGGCACCTGGGTGCCTGCTGACAGCTCAGAGCCTGGAGCCCGCTTCAGATTCTGTGTCTCCCTCTCTCTCTGCCCCTGCCCCGCTCGTGCTGGTGCTCTCTCTCTCTCTCTCAAAAATAAATAAACATTAAAAAAAATAATAATAGTTTTGATGACAGGTTACACCTATGTAAATCTGCCATATCACTGAATCTACAGGTGCTCAATTAATTAAACGATAGAGCCACAACAAAATTCCATCAATTCTCATTTAAGTATTTTATGTGAACAAGGCTTATACATATATATATATATAATTTTTTTTAGAAGAAACGTAATTAATGGAAAAGTCTGTTTTTTCCTAGCCACAGTAATATTCACTCATGAATACATATACTTAATTGGGGATGGGCGGAAGTCCTCCATAATATTAAGGGATGTAGTTCCACTAAATTATTTTCAAACGTTGCTCTATCTATATATATTTAAATAAGTAATAATTAAAATGAGGGGAAAATTTTTTTAAATACTTAATCTTACAGTCATAAATTTTTTAGACATTTAAACTTACCATAGGTATGCTGCAAGAAAAATGGATAGAATGATCCATTTTTAAAAACTTATTCAAGAATAAAAATATTTTACAGAGGAATAAAATTCTTTGGGGAAAGTTGCTCAGAAATAAGAATTCAAACAGAGAAATGTGAAATTTCCAACTGTTAAAAGAGAGTCTGTTACATGCATTTTTACAAAATATGATGACGAGGTTTAGCAAATCACTATAATGCTCTTAACCCACTGGGTATGTTTAAAATTTGAGTGATTTTATTTCAAAATTGTAATGTTTATAATATACTGGAAATTATCTCTTGCCAACTATTTAAACTTAAGATAAAAATCTTAGATGAAAAGATAAAAATATTTTCAAATTCCTTTAAGGAAGAAGTAAACACATTGAAGATTATTGTTTTGCATAATGGAAAGCATCTAGGAATTTAAAAAGCCTTAATGCTTTTCATTGGTTATACTAACTACTCTTAAAGCAATCCCTTCCCAAGTGAATTAGATTTTCCATCCTTGCACCAAATATAAATTCTAAAATGTACATGAAATACATGTGTACGAATTCCTGCACGTTCAACAAACCTGTTAAAAACACTTGGTGTAGGACTGTGATCACGCTCCCGCTCTCTCTCTCTGGTGCGCTCTCTTTCTCTGTCTCGATCACGGTCTCGCTCCCGGTCTCGGTCTCTGTCTCTATCTCGGTCTTTCTCTCTTCTTGCATAATAGTCCCACTGCTTGCTGGTATCCACAAGACTAGGCCATGAAGGAGCAGAACCAGGAAGGTGGGGAAAGGCAACTAAAGAAAAAGACAGAAACAATTCAAAACAAAAGTTATGGCACTTAAACAAAATGAGACAGACAAAACTCTACTGAAAAACAAGACAAAACTCCCACCAAAAATGTTTCATCTATAGATTATAATGGAAACCTAGGTTATAAATAGAAAAGAGAAATAATGCATGGTAAATACCCATAGTTTGAGGTAACATACAGAAACAAACCTTAAAGCCCTAACATACAAAGACAGGAACCAGAATTAGATACACCACAAACTTTCCAATACTAAAAACATAAACCAGACATCTTCAAAGTGTTGAGAGAAAGTAATGGTCAACCTAGAACGATATCCTAAACAAAATTAAATCTCAAGAATAAGAATAAAACAAAGACATTCACAGATTCAAAAATGAGCAAAAGTGGGGGCGCCTGGGTGGCTCAGTCGATTAAGCGGCTGACACTTGATTGCGGCCTAGGTCATGATCTCATGTTTCACTGAGTTTGAACCCAGCATCAAGCACTGCACTCCCAGCACGGAGCCGGCTTCGGATCTTCTGTCTTCCTCACTGCCCTTTCCCCTTCGCACGCATGCTCTCTCCCTCTCAAAAGTGAATACACGTTAAAAAAAAATTTTTTTTTAAATGAGAAGTTTTAACAGACTTCACCAAAAGAACTTCTATGAAATATATACATAATACATTCCAAAAGTAACCACTAAAATAATAGAAACAAAATGTATAATTTCAAAACACTACAAGGAAAAATAGAATTTAAAAAAATATCTGAAAAACTCAGTTCAAAAAGACCTGGAAAGGATGAGGGTTAGAGAAGACAAGTTTGATCAGTTCAATAATCACAGTAATTCAAGAGACTGAATTCACCAGTTAAACGAAAGAGTTTGATTAGTACTTTGAAAAACTCTGAAAACAAAAAAACATAATCTCTAATATTCTGAACATAAAGGACATAAAAACAACAAAATGGTTGAAAGCAGAAAGATGGGAGGAACAGGAAAATACCAATCCCCCTAATCTCTGTAGCTCTTCAGAAAAGGCTAGATTAACAACAAAGCAGACTCACAAAGAAGGATTACCTGGACAGAAAGGGCCACAAAAAGGGAATAGACGATGCATCTCACCAAGAGACAGAACTAAACTTCCAGGTGGCTAACAAACAAGCTTAAATTTTTAGAGAGTAACATAGCTTGAATATATAGAAATAAAAAATCCACCTTGATCATGGAAGATTAACATAACTGCTCTCAATTACTGCCAGTATAAGCAGACAAAACACTTTCACTACAGATAATAGAAGATTTGAGCAAAACACTGTTAACAGGCTTGATTTAATGAATATAACAGAATACTGCCCAAAACAGCTAAATAATAATCATTCTTCTCAAGCACATATGAAACACTTATAAAAGTACATTATGTACTTTCATAAGTAAAATAGACAACCTAATCTCTATACATTTCAAATTAAAGACACATTTCCGAAAATGCAGGGGTAAAAAAAAATAAATTTTAAATCATTTAGGAACTGAACATAAAAATATGACATCAAAAGTATAGGGATGCAAACAGTTCTGGAGAGAAATTTAATCTTAAAAAACATTAGATGCATTAGAAAAGATGGAAGGCTAAAGCTTAAGAACTTAGACACAAACAGAATAATCATACAAAAAGGAGATAATAAAAATAAAGTAGAATAGAAAAGAACCATACAATAAGAAAAAAAAAACCGAAAGGTGGTTTTTGAAGACTAGACAAAACATAACAATATTCTGACAAGATTAAGAAAAAAAGAGGCCACATAATCAAAACCAAAAAAAACCACAATTACAGATGTTACAGAGATTAAGAATACAGAGGATATACTTTATACCTATGCATTTAAAAACTTAGCTGAAATGGACTAATTTCAAATGATCAATCAATAATTTACCAAAACGTGACTCAAGAATGGAAAGAAATCTTCACTGCTCCCCTAACTATGAAAGACATTGATCAGTAACTTGAAACCTTCCCAAGAGACTAGATCATTTTTATAGTTGAGTTTTACTAATTTATAAGGTACAGACCATTCTAATATATAAACTTCAAAGAATAGAAAAAAAAGATTATTCTCTAACTTATCCCACGTGGCTTGTTAATACCCAAACCAGTTAAAGACAATACAAATAAAGAAAAATTATAGGCTAATCTTACATATGAACATAGATGTCAAAATCCTAAATCAATCAATGTTTATTATTATTTTTTTAAAGATAACTAATCATGACCATGTTAGGTTTATCTTAGCAAATAAACAGTGACTTGATGTTAGAAAAATTTAGAAATTTACCACATTAGCAGATTAGAGAAGAAAAACGGTATGGTTATCTCAGAAAGCATTTGATTAAAACTCAAAATCCATTCAGTTTAAAGGCTCTTGAAAACTTTCCTTGATCTGATATAGGACTCCATCAAAAACCAAATAGCAAAAAAAGCCTGGTAGTAAAAATGTAAAAGCATTTTCCTTAAAAATAAAGGGGGGGGGCTTATAAGACAAGAACTCCACTTTCAGTACTCCAACATTATAAAGAGATGCTGGTCAGAACAGTTAAGAACCCTCCCACAAAACAAACAAACAAACAAAAAACAGGGAGGGAAGCAAGAATCTGAAAAGTAACAAAATCATTATCTGCAGATATGTATTACAGGCTAAAAAGCCTTTATAGACAAATTATACTGAGTTCAACAGATAACTGGCTACAAGATCAATATACATATTGATTACTATATACATACTATATGTATAAATAGAACAAATACCAATCCTATTTCTAAATACAAGCAAATACAAAACAGGAAGTTCGAATGAATATATCACTTAAAACAACAAAAACATTAGATACCAATGACTAAATCTAACCAAAGACGTGCAAAAATTGTGTAAAGATAATTATAGCACTTGATTGAAATATATTAAAGAACATCTCCATAGATGAAGAGAGTCCTTGTTCGTTGATGGACTCAATGCTGTAAAATACAAATTCCACACAAAATGATCTAAGCATCAATGTAATTCCAATCTAGTTTAGAAACAGCAAGGACTCTGGAGCCAGGCTGCCTGGTTTCAGCTCCTGATTCTGCCACTTATTCTGTGGTACCAGGGAAACCACTTAATCTGGCTGTTCTTCAATTACTTCATCCATAAAATGGGAATAGTAACAGTACACCTGCTTTAAAAGCTGTCAGGACTACATGAGTTAACAGCGTTTTGTCTAAAGTAAGCATAATATAAATGTCACTAATCTAAATCTCAAAACAGTCGTTCATGGAACTTCCAAAGCTGATTTCAGAATGGATATGTAAGAGCAATGGCACCAGAATACTTCTGAAGCAGAATAAGTAGGTAGATTTTGCTGAACCAGATAGGAGATTTACTATAAAACTCAGTAATTAAGCTAATGTGGCATTATTAGCAAAAGAGAGTTAGTCAAGTCTAAGAAGCCATGAAACAGATTCAAGCGTACATGGAAACCTGATGGATGGGACATTATAAATCCCTCAAGGGGGATAAACTATTCAACAAATAACACTGGGACAATTATATCATTACCTTATAACACAGGCAAAAATGAACACCAGATGGCTTAAGGACATACATGAAAAACAAAATCTGAAAACATTTTTGGGGAAAAAAACCTTGAGATGGAGAAAGTCACAGTTCAAATGTGAATCCAATTATATTTTTTTAAGTTTATTTATTTTGAGACCAAGCAAGTACAAGCAGGGTAGGGACCGAGAGAGAGGGGAGAGAGAGAATCCCAAGCAGGCCCCACACTGTCAGTGCAGAGCCTGATGCGGTGCTTGAACCCACGAACTGTGAGATCATGACCTGAGCTGAAACCAAGAGTTGGATGCTTAACCGACGGAAACCACCCAGGCACCCCAAATATGAACCCAATTAAAATGTAGTATGATTTTACAGTTGATGAAGTCTAAGAAAAAAAAAGGTAATTTCTATTTGCCATTGGAACTTTCTCCTTTGCAGGGCTTGAGTATTATCATTATCTCTATACAATATTTATATAGTCCTAATAATGTAAATATGGTTTATTGTTTAGCTTTCAGAATAAAAAATTTGTCAGGGCACAGATAGTTTGGGTTATAGGACAGAATATAAATGTTCCTAAGCAGAAGTATGGCTGACCAAAGCTGGCAGGCGGAGGGGGAAGAAGAGGTGAAGACCTGGAAATTTGCCTGGTGACAGGCACTTGATAGTACATGAAACCAAGGACATGTAGATAACAGAAAGAGGTACAAAAATAGTCATAACTTCACTGGTGGGGAAAACAGAGGGGTAGTGATGGTAAGTGAGCAAAATACACATCTATCATAAGAGGATGATAACAGATGGTATCTATAGTTATATAAATCAAGAAATAGAGTGATAAGCTTATATACAAATGCTATGCAGACCATCAGAAGAACTAAAAAGCATCAAAAATGCTGGTCTCTGCAGTTCTTTGATATTTCTCCAAAATACTTTTTAACTGGGTCTTACTTTATAAGCACAATATATTTAAGTTTATTCATTTTGAGAGAGAGTGTGTGTGAATGTGTATGAGCAGGGGAGGGGAGGAGGGAAGGGGGGGAGAGAGAGAAAGAGAGAGAGAGAGAGAGAGAGAGAGAGACAGACAGACAGACAGACAGACAGACAATCCCAAGCAGGCTCTGTGCTTTTACCGCACAGCCTGACATGGGGTTCAATCCCATGAACCATGAGATCATGACCTGAGCCAAAATTAAGAGTCAGACGCTCAATCGACTGAGCCACCCAGGTGCCATGAGCACATTCTTAATATATTAGTATGCACATCAAGAAAAATTAGTAAGCAGTGTTTGAGGATAAATTACAAAATCCTAAAATAAATTAACAAAGGTAAAACAGAATTACCAACACAGAGGAAGATGGATCATCATCTACATTCCAAAGCTTTGTTTGATTAGGATGAAGAAAACTCCTTTCTTCTCATTAATTTTTGCAATATGCTTTATAACTCTTTTTACTAAAGAAGTCTTTCATATTTTAAAAAAATGCTTCTGAGAGAGGTGTTGGGGTTGGAAAGAGTGAAAAGAAAACTCTTGCTAATATACTGATTAAAAATTTGCATATATTGGGGCGCCTGGGTGGCGCAGTCGGTTAAGCGTCCG